AAAGTATAATTAATTGAAGTAATATTAGTATTCTTACTAAAATTCAAAGGAGAGAATGCGCTAATACAACATATACCAACGATACCAATAGAAGTGGCTATCCAATTCAAATGATTGCAATTTCCAATTAAACTGGCTTTAGCAGTAATGATAAGCAAATCACATGGTCAATCTAATCTATCTATTATGTGAATTGAATTTGGATAATCCATGATTTTCTCATGGGCAATAATACATTGCATGCTCCAGAAAACCGAGGGATTAGTTGTTTGTACATAAAACATTCTGATAGAACAACCCCGCAAGGATAGGCAGACCAAAATGATCATTAACAACCAAATAAAAACATTAAAACATGAGGAGAGTGTAGACTTTAGGAAGGTTGAAAAAGAACAGTAGCCACTCAATTAACTCAAGTACTTTAATATAAATAATACATACACATAATATGAATTAGATACAATAAATATTATTATTTACAATAAATAAATATAATTTAATAATAAATACAATATATTGGAAGTATGCAATACATTGTATACAATAAATAAATATTATATACAATATAATAATTATATAAAAATATTGTGTACAATAAATGGTCTAAAAATATCAATAAAAAGAAAAATCTACCAGGCAATTACCCTAGAGTATCAAAAAGTCTGTTTTTCATCTTCCCAAGAATAAGAAGAATTTTTGAGTTTTCATTAAATATTAAATAATTTTAATGAATTGTGAATATTCATTATATAGTTTAACCAAACAAACTTGTGAAGAAAAACTGAGCAACTTGAGCAGTAGATGTACACTGCAGTTATAACATTGGCAGGGTCATAAGCAGGGTGAGGTAAATCACTGACTCTTACTGTTTCTGTATGTTTTACCTTTGTTATGTGTGAATGAAGCACATAACCATTGTTTTGTACCATCGTAGATTTATTTCATATAACATATCGGCCATTTGATTGTGAATCATCAAGGCCTGCTATTAAAAGCAAGTTCAAAGTGCAAACAGCAATTAATTATTTTCTCCTTGGTTCATAAGATAAAAAATAAACTAATAACATTTCCATGGTAAAATACTATTGAGTATTTACCAATACATCAACCTCATTCAGTCATTAATATACAAAATATTAATAAGAAAGGATTTAACAGAATTTCCATACGATCGTCACCTTTTCAACTTTTTTTCTAATCACCTAAAATTATCTAGAAAATTGTTAGGACACATGATCCATGATTTTTATTAACCAGCCATGAAGTCAATCTAATAAACTACATTAATTGATTATTGTATTGAGTGTATTGATTCGTATAGGCTCTAATCTACACATAATATATATACACACACAAATATACACTTCTCGCAGCCCTCTGGCAATTCCAGTTTTTGTCATTTAAGATCATTACCAGCAGGCCTCAAGATTCACTACCCACCCAGGATGTTGGTTATCCATGGTCAGACCTCCGTCTTATCCATTCAGCCACCACGGTTTAGCTTCAGGGGCTACCAACAGCTAGTCATTACAGCCCCCAACACGATCAGTTCCTAAATCCATTCACACTCTCATTCACTCTTAACACATTCTTTCTTATTTATATACCTTTCTCTCAATTGGGGTGGTGGAGTACTTGATAATCCTCCATCACCCTTTACTCCATTATATAACTAACCTAATTGAGGGTTGATGGAGTACTCCACATTCTGCCATTTGCCCTCTCACCCTACACATTCTCATCAATAAATACAGTCACTCTCAACACACACTAAGTTCACAAAACTATCAGTGTTATACACAGTAAAAAAAGCTTTTGTTCTTTAGCGTTTCCTCTAAAAATCAAACAGGAAACCCAAATACCTACTCAAACACAATTCTCATATAAGGTGGCATTGCTGGTGCTCTCTCTATGAAACAGAGGAATGGCGCCCTTCAATTGAAGGGGACACATCTAGCAATCTTTCTCTACTGGACATGCAGGCTTTGGGCCAGAAGTAAGTGTCCTTGTGTCAGCCTCACTTGGTCTATTCTTAATCGGGTGAGGATGAGCCCTTATTGATACTAGGGCATTGCTTGTTTTATTTATTTAGTAGAATAAATTTAAAGCCTCACAGAAACACCATTTATTATCATTTTTATTTTCACAATTTCTCTGTAACAACAATATTTCTGTGTAACAACAGTTACACAATATATTTTTATTATGACATTGATTTATGTCAAATTGACCAAAATTAATGGCTGACATGCTTTTGTTTCTTAAATTTACAAACAAAAAATATAAATTAGTCAATCAATCATGTATACTTTTGAACATTCTCTAAAGAAAATATTGGTGAAAATTGGTTTGGTTATTAAACACTAGCAATATTACAAACATTGCTTAAATTTAAATCAAATAGGTGGAACTAACAATTACAAAACATAATTTAATTCTAGTTCTAATACAGACATTAATTTGTAAATAACATTACATAGAAGTCAATTAACAATGTTTTTTCAATAATTTCATATTTAAATCTCATTAGTAAAGGAAAATTTATCACATTTAATCATTGATTATTATGCGTACACTCTTCTACAGACACCATTCTTATCTCTTCTTCGCCCAGGCGGACATGGCCTCATAGGTGCAACGATGAGGGCCGCTTGCAGTACTTTGCTTTTCAAGATATTATTTATAATCTGGTTGCATGTAGAATTTGTAGTAACTTTTGTCAATTTGTCCTTTTTCCTTTGCTGTATGGCTTCATGACGTGAACTGTTCATTTGAACATTTGGCTGTTCCAGCAGTGTGTTTTGTTTGTGTTTTTCTTTTTCCACCTGTGCATTACAGGCTTCAGCGCTGACCGTGGAATTAAATGAATTTGTTTTATTTTGATTTGTATCATCGCTGTGTTGTGCTGGTAAATAATGTTGCTGAGCTGGGTTGATTTCACTAGGTTGGCTGAATACTGAAGAATTTTGCGTGTAATTTTCATAACCAAAGTCAGTCTGGTTTCTAACAGTTGTTGCATTTGGGAGATTTAAATCATATTCGCTAACATTCCTGTAATTTGGAAAATGGTTTTGCCCTGTTTGATTACAATCTTTTTTATAATTATTAAGCACATAAGAGTGATTTGCAGTTGGAAAATGTAATTTGGAACTACTTTGGTTTAAAACATGCGTTATGTCAGTATACATATGATGTATTTTCTTAAATTCATTATCATTGCTGTTATTGTATTTATTTATTGGTTGAGTAAATACAGTTGCATTATTTTGATCTCTCTCGTGTTGCAGCAATAGCTCTGTCTTATTTTCATAAGATATTCCATCGTTAAATTGGTCTGTCATTTGATTTTGAAATTCTAATAACATTGTTTCATTTTTGTTTTGATCATTACTCATAACATTAAGTTTTGCCACATTACTTCGATAGTGGTCATTAGAGTCATTGTAATTAACATGTCTTCTACTGCGTGCCTTGACAGAGCATTCTTTTATCCATCGAAAAAAGGATTCCTTTGAATTGTAACAGAAAGCAAAACAATCGTTTGAATAACTTTTACTCACTTCACTATCGACGTCACGTCTTCTAAATATTTTGTAACAGATATAACCGTCGTATGATGATAGAAATCTATCTCTGGCACTGAACAAATTATTCACTGATGATTTGAAGTCTGATGCTCGTCTGTATCCATTATTTTGAGCTGCACTTAAAAAGAAAAACAGAGAAATCACAATTGTGGCAATTTGAATGGACATTTGACTCATTTTGTATGCAGCTTGTGCGTCTTACAATAGACCGAGATCAGAGGTTATCAGTATATTAATCGGCGATATCCAAATAGTCGATCTCTATTTGTTAGAAAACCCTAGTGCAATTTTATGCATTGTTTTGCAATTATCAGAATGTTAAATGATAATTTCAATCAAATTTACCCAATTTTTCAATTGTTAAGCTAAAACAAATAATAGATTTAGAGAAGTATTTTTCATGATTCACTAAGCCAACAGCATAATTGCATGTAAAAATGTTTTTAACTATAACCATTGCCTGTGTTGTTGAATATTTGGTCATCAAACATCACTAAACAAACCGAAGGGTTGAAACAAAATTCACAATCCAGCCCTTCAGAGAACCAAAAATAAAGGGCTAAAGGAGACATAAGTCATAAGTTTCACTGTATCTACCTGTCCTTTCACCAATATTTTACAATTTTTGGAAACATATGCTGTCTTATAGTGAGACAAACTGGGTTTCCAGTTGCGTCATTGTGTTCGAAAATGAAATGTTGGATGCAATGAAAGCAAATTTTGCATGAGTGTAGTATTTCCATAATTTATTTTGTCTTTTCTAGGGCTACAGTGTTTTCTTCTAATTTGCAACAATCCTTAATTTTTGAAAAATGTTCACTGTATATGGTGGCTTCACCATCTCGTTATTACAGGTTGCGGTTGGTAGGTACATTTAAAACCCTTACTCTACTCAGCACTTTAAGGAATTCCTTTTTTATATTTGATATCAAAGAATCATATTTGAAAATTCACTTTCTTGGAATGTTTTGCTATCGTCTTGAAAATATTTAGTCCTCTTAAACCTCTGTCAGGGATTTTTTTTTTTTAAATTTTCAATAATTTGGTTTTGATTATATACGGGCCAAAATATATCAATTAAAGTAAAATATGTAATTATAAGTAAAATCTTCCAAATATTTACAAATATCTAAAATATTTTGCAGTTTATTTGCTTCTAAATAGTATGAAATGGTAAATAAAAGTTTCAAAAACGGTAATGAGGTTAAGAAAATAATCTGGTTGTACAACATATATATCTGGTCCCTATGTATATCGTTTGCAATTTTGACAAATTATGTATATCTATCATACAGAAAAATCAAATTGGAAACATTTTTTGATCATACAGCACTTGTAATAAGTTATTAAACAGGAAAGGATTTAAGGTGTTATATTACATATTTTAAGCATATGTAATAAAAATTGTGTAAGGTTATTTCTAAAAAAATTTATTTCCAAGAGAGAAAAAAAGAATTACATATATACACTTATATGAATGAAACTATATATAAAACATATTACAAATAAACTCTTTGGCGTCAAATGCACGTAAGCAACCTAATACACGGTTTATAAACAATCTAATAAATATGTTCTACATTACCAATTTTTTTTAAACTTGGTATGATAATTAAATAAAACCTCCTTTTTTATTTATCGAATTTAAAAAAAATATATGTGTGTATATTAAAAAATTTATTTGATTGTATATTTAATGAGGCTGATATACAAACAAAAATGCAGTAGATACATATTTAGAAGAAGAAAAGTATTTAGTAATTCAAAACAACACATTAAAAAAAAGAAGATTCTTTGGATTTATAGCAGTAAACTAGAAGTAATGAAATATTCTAAATTACTATCAAAACCTATGCAAAAAAAAATATATATATGTTTTTAAAAAATTATAGTTTACAAACTTTAGTGAATTGCACAATAAACAAAGCTTAAGTGAACACACTATGATTAATTAAGAAAGAAATTTTTCATTGTACATTTGTAAAGATTACATATCATTTATATTCTACATTTATACAATTCACATATTATAAATGAATACATTTAATGACTTTTATACTGGTAAAGGAAATATAATTTTTTTTTCTCCAATACCTCAGTACAATGGTAACTCAGAAGTTAAAAAAAAAAACTTTTTTTTATCCAATTTTGCTTTGAAAAAAACTACAATTGTAATGGTGCCAGTTACATAAAAGGAACATGCCATTTTACAAAAAAAATATATATGTATGTATGTGTAATATATATTTTAGTCTCTAGGGGAAAAAATCCTGGAACTACAGCTTCTTGCAATGCCAACTCTTCCTCGAAAAAAGCTTTACCAGAAAATTCGAAAAATGCAATCTAAAAACCAATATAAAAAATTTAAACCATTTGAAGTCAATTTGTTAAAGAAGTTATTAGGAAGTTATTTATTTGTAATAAATAGTTGTAAATATCAAATAAATATAATAAAAATAAAAATTTGCAATACATAGATTTTTAAAAAAGAACTGTAGGCTCACCTTTTTCAATGTGAGTTTTTATCTTAAATGTAAAAATAATTCTGGTAGTCTGGGTAAGAAGAAACTGTTTCGGTTGCAATGCTCTGTCGGGAGGAGCATGGTATCGATGGAAGATCAGGAGTCCATGGAATCTTTAAAAAAAATAATAAAATAAAATAAAAGTGATAATTTTCCTTTTATATAGTTTTTACTAATTTGTACAGTTAATATACCTTGCTCCTCCTTAAGCGATAGTCGAGGTTGCGTCTCAACAGGAAATGAAATCCGAGGTTTTGACTCCAGCTCTTCTGTACCTGGAGAGGATAATCATCTGGGTGGAGTTTCCTCTGATATTCTTGGCTTTCACAAACCTTGAAAATAAAATTAACATTAATTGAAAATTGAGAAAAGTTTGTGGAGATTATGAAAACTCACCTCATAGAGTGAAAACTGTTCAACCCTTTCTTTACTGTTATAACAATTCAGTAGGATTTGAATGAGCTCGTCAACTGAAGTGTACTCTGATATAAGCAAGCTCTTGTATTTTGACTGAAAGTTTATTGAGAAAAAAATAGTTAACTTTAAAAAAGTTGTTAAAGAAATGTAATTAATTAACTTACACCGGGCATGAGGACGCTGTCATAAATTTTCACAAGCCCACCATTTCTAATTTGTAGTGCAAACCTGCAATAAAGACACAATTATAAAATAAAAACACAACATTTTTTAAGTATAAAAGTAACAAATGCATACTTTGAATCTCCTCTAGGACGACAAGACTGGAGTACCGCAGGCCTTGATTCTTCATCTAAGACAATTACCGTTCTTATCCCTAAAACAAGTTTCCAAAGCAAGAATTAAACAAATCAATGGAACATAATTTAAAAAATATTATTTAGAAAATAAAATGGTTACTGTGTACATGTATTTGGTTGTTAGGTTAGTTATGTTATAGATTATTTTTTCTTTTTATTATTAATCTATAATTGTATCAATTTATGTAATAAGCAGATAGGTTACAGGTAGGAAGTGTAAAATTGGAAAGGTCACATTAATAGAGGAGTTGGAATCAAGAGATAATTTGGAGTGGAATTTGAGGTAACAGGATTTGGCTTGGTTGGTGGCATGAGGAATTCAGAGGTCTGGGTGGAGAGTATGGCTACTAACAAAGAAACGATTTTTAACTAGAGAGTTTGGATCCTATTAAGGTTTGAATTTTTATCCCCGAACATTTCCAATCCCTAAGTCCATATAGAAGTTACAACTTACAAGAGCTATGTAAAGAATTTTTTGTTGTGAATAGTAAGTCTTAAACATTTATCTAGCAGTTTTTTAATATTCTACTTTTTGTTCAATTCTGCCAATTTAAGTCGTGTATGTGGATTCAATGTCAAACTTTTGTTGCTGTTTTGGTTTATCCGATGCGTTTTAGTTTCTCATTCTAATGTTCTAGCCATCTTGAGTGGTTAGTTAAAGGCCAAAGCATCAATATTCACCCAACATTGAAGTTGGATAGAAGCCCAAACATGTCCGACAGGACAAAACAGCGAGGATAAGCAGGCCAAAATGATCAGAAACGATCAAACTATATACAGGGCTTTTGTGTTTTACAGTAGTAAATATTGAAATGTCTATGAACATTTGAGACCTCTTCTTGAGAACTGTGGGGAGATGAACTGTAGTTACTGGCCAGATAGCGAGGAGCCAAAATGTGACTGACACCCCAAAAAACCAGGATAGGCAGATCAAAATGGTTGGAAACGTCCCAATCAATTAATTACAGGTGCATCACCTGCCGATGACGTGAAAACGTGAAACTTGCACCCATTCAATAAAGCTTATTTAGAGAACAGTCATGAATTTTAATGTTTAATTCTATGAAAATAAATGTAAGTTTAAAAAATCGAGTATTTGAAAATGTGGCAAAAAGGATATATCCATTATGTGTTACTGTGTTACTGAAGTGCAAATAATCTAGCTCATAGGGTTCATGGATCATCTAATGACTAATGTAATTATATGACTAATAGATTACATTGTTTTTCTTGATTGTTGCTTTGCCCTTCACATTATTTATCTTTATTTCTAACGTTTTAATTATTTGATTTAAAAAAAAGGTCGCATTTTTGAAACTCACCTGCTTTCCTGACCGTCACTTCCATTGTCAAATAGAACAGATTGGGGTCCCTGTGTCTCATTCTGTATTTGTTGAGGAGTGAGGTGACAACTTCCCTGCATGTCGTCTGATATGTGATGCCCAGAGTTTTGTACTCGATGTCCGGCCGAAGGCACCTCGCGTACACCTTGATCGTGCTCTGAAAGCAAACAGAAATTTATCCTGGCCCTGAACACATCATCACACAAGTCGTGGACGACTTGCAGATCAATTAACTAAAAGCTAGGAGTGAAATGATTTGACAAACTCGGTCTTAAGACAGACAAATTTTACACGTGGCTAAAAGCCCATTGGCATTGTTAACTATGTAAAAACTTTAGCGATTTTAAAGATAGTTTAAAACTTTTTTTGTCTAAAAATGAAGGGTGGTCATTTTAGGCTGAAAAAAGTATTAGGTCGTGTTCAAAAATTCTGTGGATGCTGGTAGTTAATTTATTATAATTTGCTGAGCGTTTTTGATGTATTTTCTTCAGTTAAAACCAAGATAAAAACATATATTTAAAACAAAATTTAAAAAAAAAATAAAAGATCTTTTGGGTTATGAGGGGTCGTAAAAAATGCCGAAGGGCGTGGAGCGGATGTGAACAAGATCTCTTTGGGTGTTTTTGAAAAGACCGGAAACTTGAACACACGTGGACACAGAGCTCTTCTTTGTCAGGGCGGAGCGGCGATAAATTTATCTGCCCTGACCACGGTTCGGCGTTGAGATAACCATCGACGAAAATATGGTTTATCCATGTGCCGCAAAAGGTCACGAAGGGCGACCTCGATCAATCCTAATCATTTCGACAGGCGTCGGATCGCTCCTCAGGCTGATCGGCATCCAGAGGGCGGTGTTTTCGGAGTCGGTAGTTGCTCACTAATAGATTATTTAGGATGAGCCCGAAAGAACCGTTCTCCGTGTAATCATGTTTAGTCTTGGCTCAATTATCCCATGGTTAACGAGTCAACTTGACAGAAAGGCCTGTTTAATACCGATTTCATATGGTAATTTAAAGCCCCGCACCTTTTTTACATTTGTCTCATCAAAATAATTACCCAAATGATGCTTTTAATATAAACCTAAAAAATAAATACTTAATAGTTCAAGGCAGACTATCGATCTGTACTAGTCTCCGAAAAAATCATTCATTAATCTATAAACTTATTGAACTAATTGACACTTAATCACTTTACAGGGTACTACTAAAAATTCTGTTTGGTTTACGACTGAAGTTGGCGAAATGACGAAACGGGTCTGACAGACAAATCAGCCAGAATAGCAGACCAAGATGATAGGTAAGTACCAAATTTTAGATTCATCACCCCATAGACCACCATGAGTGAACCTCTCAAAAGTAAAATCGTTAGAACGCGCCTTAAAATTTCTTACAGAGGAACGACCGGTTGGGTTTTGATGTAGGAACGGGTGCCACAAGTGTGGAAAGGTTGGGAAAGATTCGTTTGAAATAAATTGAAAATTGTTGCTCCGGGGCGAGTTTGTTACGTGCGGTCGAATAATCGCGTTTCCCTAATCCCAGTAGCTCGCCTTTAGCCCTACTCCCAACCGATAAACGCCTCGGTTTAAATTTGCGGTCGCCCGAGGGAAAGCTGAATCCTCGTAAGATGTAGGAAGCGATGACTTTTTATCCTAACAATACGCCTCTAATCCATCGGGACATTCTTCCATTTCCGTTCGGCCACTTCCGAGGAAGAAACCACAGGGCCGGGTCAAGGGCGTAAACCGTGTGATAGTGCGTACACTCAGGAATGTCCCGTCGAAGGGAAAGAAAGGGCAAATAGCCGGCCGACCGGAACGGACCGAGGAAAAAAGGGACGAAACTACAGAAAGAAAGAGGAATCTGTGTGGGAGTCTCACATGGATCGCAGTTCTTTCAAGGGCCTCGTCTAATGGCACCGGACACAATAACCACAGGTCATCCTTTAATCAGACGGAATGAAAAATGTCGTTACCATCTACCAGTCATCACCTACAGCTAAAAAGTAACAAAATAGCAGACGCATTGTCTAGTCACCATCATTTTAACTTTCACATCTGCATCCTCGTGCCAACTCGGCAATGATGAAACGATGACATACAAAAGTTAATATGCTCTTATGAGACTCGACACCATCAAATATCATTTGTAAAAATTTAACGAGTTAGTAAATAATGTCCCGAGGCTCTACTTAGTTTTAAAGCTTTTAATGAAATTCCTTTCTATCTGCAACGCAAATATAGCGGTGATTACCTAAGTAGATAATATCCATTATATAATACGGCATAGGAAAGTATACATAATTCTTCCCATTTGAATATTCGTATACAGCTGTAATATACAATAAAAAAATTAGAAAATTATTTTGTGATAATAAACCAGGTAGAAATTGATAGAAAGAATGGGGGAGATGAACCTTTAGTTTGGACGTTTCAGATCACTCTGGTTTGCCTATCCTCCATGTTTTTGGTCAGTCAACCATCATCATCCGACAGGGGGAAAAAGAGATGGCCAAACTATAAGCATCTTTTTTGCAATAAGTTTACATTTTCATTTGAAGTGCACTACAACGTAGGAGTAGCTTAAACGTTAGAGTCATTGAAGGGGATGATGAGTGATTTGTTTGTGTCGTGTGTACAAGCCCCATCGAGCTTAATTTATGCTCCCCGCGCGCCGTGATGTACAAATTTAAATGAAAACCCCCTCGGACAGGTGGAGTCGCGGTGACATATTGTGAAGCAGAACTAGACTCTCGGGACCAGCTGCCTGGACTTCCTCCCCGTGGCACGAGCACATGAGGGGATTGGAAACACGTGCATCCCGGCGAAACGGAAACGGATTCAAGGATCCTCTTACAACACCTGCAGCAGTGATTCAAAAACTTAAGTGCTCTTGAGCGTCCACCACCGGTGGTAGACGACAAAAATCAATGAAAACAGGTGTCTCAATTTTCTATGTTCCCTTGCATGAAATGTTTCACACAAAATTCAACCCTTCTCTGGCAAGCTGTGTTTTCGAAAGGACCTAATAGCGTTCCTGTCAAAGTCGTCTCCTCCTTTGGCAGACAGGCGGATTACGAGTTTAGCTTGGATAAACATTCCTAGAGGACAAATGGAGTCCATCACTTTCTTATTTAGGTATCTGGGCCTCCTTTCCTGAGGAGCTGGGCCGTAAAACGGACTATTTTCAAAGATTTTACGCCCCCTTCATTGTTTACATTCGACGAGGGAAATCTGTTCTATTCTGGTGGCGTGTTTCATATAGCAAGCATGCATACCTGAATTTTTCTATTTTTGCTTTTTAAAGACAAAATTATCGCTATCCTTCTAGAAACAAAATCTTCTTTATTTTAGTTTTTTAATATTTAATACTGTATCCGTTGAATCTGCAATGAATTCAAGTTCACATCTTCATTTTCTTTCGGTCATTCCTAGGAAAATATTGTGTCATAAGAATTTTCCTACTTGATGAAACTACCTTGGAATTGAAAAGGGACTAGTGAATCGTAACACTAATAGAACAATAATTATCCTTCGATATGGCTATCTCGCCCAGACTTGAAAAATGATTAACGAAAGCACTACTTGTTTCTATTGTTTCATGTCCAAGAAGCGGGTTGCTGATGAAGAATTGAACAAGATATTTACGTTGATTTGAATTCTTGAGACATGACATAAAATTTTGCCTAAATGAAAGCATTGTGACTCACGTGTATTTTTATTCGTAAATGTTTTATCCAAATTCAAAAATAAAAACAAACAGTCACTAGTGAAGAATGTTTTGATTTTATTCAAAACAACAACTAATTAAAGTCCTTGATCATTAATCTTTCTCCCACATTTATATCAAGTGCTTCGATTATTTTATCATACCGGTTAAAGTTGCGGATGTACACTGCAACTGCCGTTTTTTATTTGAAAAAACTTCTCACGTTGTAGGAGCAACAATGAAGAAATTAAATCTTATTTTCGTGTGGCAGCTGCGGCTATCGTTGCTACGATTGAAATAGGCTTGGAAACAATTTCGTAACCACATCCTACACTTTCCCTCCACCTTCAATAATAAAAGTCGGATCGTTCACATAAACGTACTCCAGTGTTATATCGATCGGAGGAACGTTTAAAATGAATAACATTGGGCCTTTCTTTAAAAAACCCGCACAATTACATTTAAAAAAAGTAGTAGGAAGTGATTTCGTTTTAATCGAAGGCCTATCTGCGAACGAGCTTAATTCCCATAAATTACTCTTGACTCATGCATAACGCCAATTTCAAATCCGATACCGGTTATTAATTCTTACATTTGGAAAAATATGCACTTTCATGTATTTTTCTTCAGTCCAATATTAAATTGTCTAATCAAAAAAAAGAAGTTTGACGTCTATTTCCACTTTATTTTATCATGACTTTCCTGATATGTGATGACCTATCCATTTCAACATATCATTTGATTCAGTACTTTAATGATGATGATGATGATGATGATAAAGATGATAAGAGGTTTGGTAGTCACTATGCCTGTTGGCCTTTTTCTAGTTTCTTAATTCAATTGACTCGATCCTTCTTTTAGGAAGTAGTAGGTCATTGACTGTCATTGCTGCAATTAAATTTCCCGGGTCCTCTTGGTATTATGGGGTCATGTCTCTGTTGAGCAGTTGCTTCATATTCGATTATAATACAGGTGGCAGTTTCTTCCTCCTCAATGCATAAATTACAAAATGTGCTATCATTGAATATACCTATGTTTTGTAGATGTTTTAACAAATGCCATCGGCGAGTATATATATCCCTAACACTTCACTGAGTTCTACCCTGTCTGTACCAATGTGCTTGTCACCTCTGGACTTCGTCCGCACCTCCTTTTGTTTGATCTTTTTATCCCAAGAATAGGTTCTGGGTCTATAGTTAATCTTAGAGATCTCTGTCCAGTTTGTCTGCTGATCCATTACGCAAATTGCTTAGTGTTCGGCACTCCAAATTAGGTTGTTATGGTTTTCCAGATTGTTGGAGGTTTTGGATGTATGCCAGACTATTTTGGATGTAGCTTTTTTTTAAGTGCTAGTGCTTACAGGACCGCTTGATTATTTTATGATTTTCTATGGAATATGCATTGATAGCTTGTGTTTGAGCTTGAAAGACCAAGGTTACTTCCCTAATGAGTT